GAAAAAGGTGTTGTTGTTATAAAATAAAGACTATAAAATAAAGATAAAGTATAGAGAGAAACTAATATATTATTCGAATTCAAACTGATGTACATAATGAACTGAAATCTCTTCTATTTATAGAAGAAAGGAAGCTGCTGTGTAAGCTGTTACTATATCAGATATGAATAATCTTCTATTGAGAGCAATGTTGATCCNCAAGTATAGAGAGAAACTGATATATTATTCGAATTCAAACTGATGTACATAATGAACTGAAATCTCTTCTATTTATAGAAGAAAGGAAGCTGCTGTGTAAGCTGTTACTATATCAGATATGAATAATCTTCTATTGAGAGCAATGTTGATCCATAACGGAGTACCGAAAGGAAAAACTTATTATACCCGATATGGATAATCTTCTACCGGGGGTAATGTTTATCCATAACTGGGTACTGAAAGGATAAGGTTATTATACTCGGTATGGATAATCTTCTACCGGAGATAATATTTATCCATAACTGAGTACCGAAAGGATAAACTTATTATACCCGATATGAATAATCTGCTACCGGGGGTAATGTTTATCCATAACCAGGTATCGAAGTGATAAACTTCTTGAGGAAACTTATTTCCAATAGAGTACTTAAATAGATAAACATATTTATGGTGGAGTCACATATGGATAAGCTTCTTCAGGAAGCTTATTTACAACGGAGTACTAAATGAACATCCATAATATAATATATTTACAACAGTGATAATATTCCAATAGAAAAATCGATGTGATTTATTAAACTAAATGTTACGACCATTTTTTAATTTTGGATAGACACGATTTATTTCTCCATTGGTCCTCTTAAAAAAGTCAGATTTAAATAATAATTATGAAAATACAGAAAAAACTATTTTTGTTCAAAACAATGGAAAATATATTGAATGTTTTATTTATCAAGATTACTCGACTCAACTTTGAGGAAGCAAAACAAGAATTTGGTATCAGTTCTTGATTTTATTTTCAAGGGGAAAAGCTTAAAAGAACTTGATGATGATGTCCATCTCATTGAAGAAGTATTAGGCATGTGCCTAATAAGCGTTTTCTTTGGTTTGGTAGCCAATCTTGTTGACTTGGTTTGGTTGGTACCCAACCTTGTTGAATTTCTTTGGTTTGGTAGCCAACTTTGTTGAATTGTGAAAAGTGTGTGTAAATTGTCAAATATTGTAGGCTTTAGAGGGTGAAGCTTTGGCTATAAAAGGAGAGCTTCAACTCTCATTTCTTCACACCAACAAAGAGAGAAAGAAAGAGTGAGGTTTCACAGACAAGGTATAAGAAAATAGTCTGTGAGGAAAATAGAGAGTGAGCGATATTGTAGTGAGGTGGGAATATCAAAAGAGGGTTATTTCTTTTGAGTGTTGTAGTGGTCTTTGGAGTATTTA